TTGTGTGTATGTGTGTTTCATGTGGGTGTGTGCACGTATGCATATGAGTATATGTGCATGACTGTGGAGAACAGAGGTCAGTGTCAGGTGTTTTCCTCAGTAGTTCTCCACTGCATCTTTTTTTGAGGCAGGGTCTCTCACCAAACATGCAGCTCATTAATCCAGCTTGAATGGCTGGCTAGCAAGGCTTGGGGCTCCTCAGGTCTCTTCTCAGTGCTGGCATCACAAACGTGGCATGCTTCTCTGAGGGCCTGGTGATCTGCACTGAGGTCATTATGCTTCTTCGGGAGGTTCTTTGCCGACCGAGCCATCTCCCAGGTCTCTTTCTTCATGAAGCATCTCTTCTTATTTCTAGCAATCATTTCTGCAATACCCTTCTTGTTGGGGGTGTGTACCAACTCTCCGGTTCAACCTCATTAGGTCTTCACGGCAGATCTATCTTTAGTGTCCTCATGCTTTTAGAGTTACAATGAGTTTCTTGTACAGACTGTGCTTGGACCCTGGTTTTAGAAAACAAATCGGTGACCAGTGTATTAATTCATGCACGGAAATCATTCATAGTTAGAATTATTATCTGTAGGATTAGAATGGAAGGTGCCGTCCTGCTGTTGTCTATTTTCCCATCTGCTCTCTGTTTCTCTCCCCCATCTCTGCTGCCCATCTGGCCAACTGTACATTTTGTCTCAATTTATTAACTTACTGTTTTAATTTTTTCATAAATAAAATATTTATGCTGAGTGGTAGGATGCACGCTCAGCAAATGCAAAAATTTGGGTTCTATCCTCAGCATCAAGATGTGTACAAAAGAAAATGAAAATGTGTTTTATGTGTTTCCACCACAGCTGGTATTTGCAATATGTGTCAAAGAATCTGAACGCACCTTTAGGTAAATACCGCTTTAAATGTATTAATATGTAGCCCATGGAATCTGATATTCCCAATTACTCCTTTCCATATGCTCTAGTTTGCCATCTACTTTATATTTACTTCAGATGTGAACATATATTGCTATTATTTTATGTTAAAGAACAATTATGATTCTGAAAAAAATGTTAATTTTAGTCTTGTTTATCACTACATTTCTCATGCTCTTACTTCTGTGTGTAGATATGAATTTCTGACCCATTTTCCTTCTCCTTAGATGTTTCTTCTTTAACATTTTTTCAAAGTCTTCTACTTTTTAATTTATAATAGCCTGTATGTGTGTGTCCCTGTGTATTTATTGTATATGAGCGCAGTGTCCAAGAAGGCCAGAAGGGGGCGACAGATCCCATGGAGCTGGAGTAACAGGTGGTTGTGAGGCAGAAGACTTGGGAACTTGGATCCACACACTCAGGTTAATCACGGTGTCATCTCTATGGTCCCACCCTTTAACATGTCTCCAATTCGCTCAATTATTTAGCAATTCCATTGGGTTTTGTCGAGGGCGGGGGGGGGAAACACTTTTTAAAAGTTTTATCTTTGATAGGCTTTTTTATCAGCACAGATTTGGAACTTAAGTTATTTATTTCAGAGGTGAACTGCTGCCATTCTACTTTTGTTTTGCAATGCGGGCAAAATGTGCCTGCCACTGTTTTGCAGTGGGCGTGATTTCCAGTTTAACTGCAACAGTACTCTCTGCTTTCACTCTCTGTCCTTTTCCTGCTTTTATTTTTTTCTTTCAAGCCTTTTTCACTACTCAGTTATTTATTATATAACTATATGATTGTATTAATTATGTATCTCTCTCGGCCAGCTTTTAAAATAGCACGAAGGTGGGTCTGTGTCTGGTTTTGCTCTGTGTTCAGCACCTAGGATAGCTCCCAGGTCTCAGAACCAGTGTTTGTTAAACAAAGGGGCCTTTAATTTTTATTTACAGATGAGATGTGCCTCAGGCAGAGAAAAGTTATATGGTAACAGAATACGCTAGGATTCCTAACTTGATTTCTGGGAGACTGCTTGAGTGCAAGACAGAGCCGGAGAGCCTAGGTTTCTCAGGGTCCTTCTTGCACGGTCTTAGCCTGGAAGAAACCAAGAGAAAGCCTGGGGCCACCATATAGCCAGCCAGGCAGAAGCAAGGACTGAACTTGAAATCATGATAGAAGAAAGCAGGGACAAGGGTGTGGACCTTGAAGTGTGTGCACGAGAGCGTGTAGCCTAGGAAATGAAAGCCACCTGCTGCCAAGCCTGACAACGCAAGTTTGGTGCCCAGGATGCCCATGATGGAAGGAGAGAACTGAACCTCACAGGTTGCCCTTTGACCTCCTGTGTGTGTGTGCACGTGTACTCACACATCAAAAGCAATATGAAAATTAAAAATCAATAAACAAACAAGCACCGTCCACACCCCTGCTGAGTCTTCATGCATTTTGCAACATGCAGGGAGACCTGCAAAGTGTTTTGTTCCCATGACAACTGATCCTCTGCCGGCTTGAGTCTGGGATCTCTGGACTTTTCTGTGAATATCCAGGAGAAACGTTCTCTCTGATTCTGTGGTGTAGGTGCAGTCTCCGGGTTGGGAAAGGCCACGGCAGAGCACCCATCACCCCTCCCCTGTCTGCAGCCTGAGCAACGGCAGGCTGGATGCAGGATGGTAGGCTCAGGCTACATCCTCTCCGTAAGACGTAGGAGGATGAAATAAGCGGCTCCCAAGATTCCCCAAGGAGCCATCACCATGTCGCAAAGTCTCCCTCTGTGTCTTTTATCCTGGGATAATGGAGTTGCACAAGTGTAATAACTTGACAGTAAAAATATTCACCTCTAAAGGCAGCTTTCACAAGATGACATTTTATAAGCTGTTTTACACACACTGGAAGATGAACGTGACACAGCTCAGTCTTCACCCCCGCCCCCGATCTCCATGCTCCTGGCCTCTGCTCTCCTTATATGACGATGAATAGCGCTTGGTTTCCGATGCTCCCCTTGTGGCTCAGAGCCCTGGAGGCGCCATTTAGATGAATGATGGAGGGTGGAGAGGTAGCTCAGCAGTTATGAGCACTTGCTCAGAACTCTTGAAGAGGACTTCTCGTCAGCCCCCAGCACTCACATGACAGGCCAAGACCGGGGAACTGATGCCCTCTTCTGGCCTCTGCAGGCCCTGCACCCATGTGGTGCACCCCCATACATACAGAGGAAACACCACACACATAATTTTTTTTCAAAGATAGATGATTGATGTGAGTGGGGATTTGGATTTTACATCATCATGTCTTCTCTTATTTTCTCCATGTTGTAATCTCAGTTCCTAGTCAAAGGGGTGGGACTGAGCACTGGAATTCCAAGGTCACAGATGTTCAGCATCGGGTCCCTATGCTTCAAGCTCTGTGTCTTTTCCTGGTGTGTTTCCATCCATGACATATGAAATGAATTTTATTTATTTTTAGTATGCGTGTGTGTGTGGTCTAGTTTATGTTGTGTGTATGTGGTCTGGTCTGATGTGTGTGTGTTGGAGGGATGGAGTATGGTACTCTGATACAAATCTGGTAACTCCACTTGTATCTTCTTATCATTGCTCTGTGGTTGGAGCCTGCAAATTCTCCTGTAGAGACTCATAAAATCTACAATAGGTTATTTGAGTGACAATACTCTAGCTGTTCTGCACCAGAGTCTAGTGATCATATTCTGCTGTGTTCTGGCATGCAGTGTCTAACCTCCCATGATCCCCATCCCTGAGTAACTAAAGTCAGGCCTGAAGCCCCTTTACTACTCGGTCAGACCTTGGCCATCTAAGGTCCCCCTTTCTCCATGGCCTACTGCTCTGAACAGCAAATCTGTCCTAAGCTGATGGGAGGCTGTTTTGGGGTGGGGGCATTTTGTTATAGCGGGGCCTTTAAAGTTCCCATTTATTCTAGATGTCATTCCTTCAACACATTAATAATTTGCAAATAGGGCCTGGGTAGGTGGCTGAGTCAGTAAAGTACTTACCCTGTAAGCACGAGGACCCGAACTCAGTCTTCAGCATCCATATAGAAAACCAGGTATGCCTGTGATCTGGCCTCTGGGGAAGCAGAGACAGGAAGATCCCAGGGCCTCACTGGCTGGGCAGCCTCGTCAAATCAGTGAGCACCCAGTGTGATGAGACACCCTGTCTCAAAAACGTAAGGGGAGCGGCACTTGAGGAACGACACTTCAAGTTGACCTCCGACCTCTGCATGTACACACACAACACACACACAGGTGACGTGTGCCCCCGGCCAGTCCTGCCACATCACAGCTTCAGTGTTCTGATCACAAATGAAATCACAGGTTCCACATATTCTGTGATTCCCCGTGGTTTCCAGCCCTCCTTCCTCATTTCCCGCCTTGAACTTCCCACAAAGACACCTTCCTGATGGGGAACGAGACCACAGCACTTTATTTGCTCACCCAGGAGATGGGCAGCAAAGCCGGGAGCTGACAGGTGTGCAAGGCCCCACGGCAGGGGACGAGCCGGAGACCACTGTGAGACGCCGCCACCTCCTCTGCAGCCCCCGAACCTGCAGTTTACTGTGTGCAGGATTAATTCCATCTGTGTTTCCAAGCACCCCACAGGCTCTTAGCCTACCAGCATCTTAATCTAGTGCAGAGCCCTCTTGGAATTTTTTCAGATGTTCCACTTTATGGCCGGAACAAAGTGTTTTCTTAGAAACATTAAAACCTTTTATGCACCTTCAGATGTGGAACAAGAGTGGGATAAGGTACCCTGGGGCTTGATTAGTGGTGGTTTGAGCATACAAGAAAAGGTAAGGTAGAGAAAACAGTGTTCTCCCAAAAGGCGCTGACGTTACACAACTCTGCTAAATTATGTTTATGGTTTAACGTGTCAGTATTTTGTAACACAAAACAGCTTTCCTGGAGTCTATCTATCAGTTATTTGTCACTAATTAGTGCCTACAAATTACTCTTTGTACCCGTCCTGCTCTTCTGGTGCCTTATAAATCGGAGCTGTCGAGGTTGATGAACTTCTGCCGGTGTCAAGATCTGCGCACGGTGTGTCTCTTGCTGACGTGTCTCTGTGCTCTTGCTCTCCCCACTCCCCCAAGGTCTCCAACACCTGTGATTCGATCTTTGTGAACGGGAAGGAGATGAAGAGCAAAGTGGGCACGATCGTGAACTTCACGCACCAGCACTTCACTTCCCAGGTGGAGATCACCGTCTGGGTGCCCCGGCTGCCGCTGCAGATCGAGGTCTCAGACACAGAGCTGAGCCAGGTCAAAGGCTGGAGAATCCCGGTGGCTTCCAACAGGAGGTGAGGAACAGGAGACCTGCCTGTGGGTTAGAGGCTGCGGGGCCCCGGGAGGCGACAGCGGAAGTGTGTTGCCATCTTCTGGGTTTGGCTTCCGGTAGTGTATGGCAGTGCTCTGGACTTGGGCTCCTGGTGGCTCTGACTTGGATGGTCATGAACAGTTGGACGTGAGGAAATTACATCCAAGACAATACTAGCAGCAACAGTGGTGGCACTGGCGGCCTCGGAGAGTGGTTTCTAGGGTGCAGGAAGGTCATGTGAGGTCTAAGAAGCACCTAAACAGCGCCTGGCATTCGGAACGTAACTGCTTCCCACTGTCTGTTGCACCGTCCCTCCTCTCCTTTCTTCCTCACTCATTCTCTCTCTCCTGACTGTCAGTCACAGAGAGAGGTGTTGTGTGGTTAAAAACCACGTGGTTGAAAATGAGACTGCCTGAGTGTTAACCATGGTTTCTCCCAGGTACAGCCACGTTGACCCTATGACTTCACCTGCATATTCTTCAGTTCCCGCAACTCTAAATTGGGAACAGTAGTAGTAAAAAAAAAAATAAACCTCCCAAGGATGCAGTGAAATGATGTGTTCTGCAGAGGGAGGTCCTAAAGTCAAACTCTTCTCCAGGATCCCCATCTGCTGCTCATTCAGATGTAGCGGTTTGATGGGAATGTCCACCACAGGCTTATGTGTTTGAACACTTGGTCCTCAGCAGGTGGTGCTGTTTGAGAAGGTAATGGAACCTTTGGGAGGAGGAGCCTTGCTGGAGGAAGTATGTCACTGTGTGCACTCTCTGCCTCCTGGGTATGTGTACAATCTGATCAGACATTTTTTTTTCTCCTGGTGCCATTTCTTTCTTACCATCACCATGATGTGCTCTCTCTCTGTATATATCTCCCTGGAACTGTGAGACAAAGTCAACCCTTTCCTCCTAAGTTGCTTTCTCCCAGGGTATTTTATCACAGCAGCAGAAATGAAACTAGAAGTCTAGTGAAGCACTAATCTAGCACCATGCCAAGGAGATGTCACAGATGCAGTTACTGCCAAACCAATCTATATTAGGATGTGGAGATGATGTAGGAGGGCCAGGCCCATCAGCTGAGGCCCTTGAAAGCAGAGCGTCCCATCCAGCTACTGGCAGAAAGGCACTGGAGGTCCGAGGGTAAGGACCACTTGACAGGGTGGTCATCTTCACTTTGAAGATGGACTGAATCATACACCGTGGAAAGTGGGTGGAAGCTTTACACCTTGTACCAACTGACCCACTTGTCTGGGTGTGAGTTCTTCCCCAGCGGCTTCAGGCGAGAGCCCAGCTGACATCTTGATTTCAGCTTCTGACTCTCTATGCAGAATTCCTCCTTTGAGCCCGGTTGTGCCATGACCCACAGAACCACAAGCAAGCAAATGAATGGTGGTGTCTTTGTAAACGGTGAGGTTTGTGGACATTTGTTACACCACAAAGGAAAAACCAGCTCTTGTTACCCAGCGTTGGGGTGCAGCTGTAGCTCTCTAGGGAGGGGTTATCTGGAAGCAGACAGTGGGCAGAGGGTGGCCTTTGACAGACTTTTTGTAGACTCGTGGGTGGTGAAGGTACTGACAATGAACTTGACTAAGTGAAACATTGTGGGGAAGCTCCCGTCACCTGGTCAGAAATAAAAGTCGTCCATGGACAAGAGTGAACTTGGCAAACACCACTGGTAAATGTTCAAGGGCGGGGAAACATGGATGCTCATTTGGCCACTACAGAATGCCAGCGTGTCACGTGACATGTTGCAGGAACATGGGAGGCAATGAGGCTGGCTATGGAGTTGTGATTCCCAGGCAGAGTGTTGAGTGCGGGCCTCGGATTCATCTTGATTTTTACAGTTAAATGCTAGAGGAGAGAGAAATGGAGGCAAGAGCTCCACTGTCAAAAGGGCAATGGGCACCTATGGCATCGAAACAATCAACTTTCCCAGATGACAGGTGATGGGAAAACTCAGACTTGCTCTGAAACATGAGCTCAGGAGGCCACAGAAGCCCAAGACTAGACTCCAGGCTCCTCTGAACTAGGAAGGACATACACAGTGAAGTGGTATGGCCTGAATGGGTGACACCTTCCTCCTGTTCCCTTGAAGAAGGAGGGAGACATTACCGTTAGAGAAAGATCAGCAGAGATGGAATGGGAGCCATAATGTCAGGGGAAACACCACTGAGACCGTAACACCCCTGATGGCCTCTAGACCCCAAACCCTATTGAAACCAGAGCCTGCGTGCCAAACCAGAACATGTTAACTGAAATGGATTCCTATAAGTGCCAGTGGTTTTTAAATCATAATATCCAAAACATGTGCATTGTAATATTGAAACCACTTGTTACCTTGGGGAATGGGAGTTTTGGCTACAGAATTATAAGTAGCCTCGGCATCACTGAGAATGTAGGCAGTCCCAGCAAAGGAGAAGTAACTAGAGAAAACCCCCAGTGGATAGTCTCAAGCGGCATGGGAAGGGTGGCAGAATAAGGCCAACGAGGCCAGGGATGGAAGATAAAAGTCAATCTTAAATGACACAGGAGACCAGCTGGGTAGATCATCAGGGATTGTGAGACAGTGCCGAGATGTCTGCAGTTCCTGGAACTAGCATCTAGGGAGAGGACAATGGACGTGGGGCTGGGGTGCATGATGAAAACTGACCAAATTTGGCGAAGTGAAGTATGTGAATATACAAAGGCAAACATCCGAGGAAACCAGCAACGGGACACACTGAGAAATCTACATGATGGCATCTCACAGGGACATTTTCTGAGAGCCGGAGACAGAGGAGGGGATCTTAAACATGTCAGAGAGCCACACTGATGATTAACACAAACTGTCATAGTGTGAATCTCTGGCGTGTTTAAGATGGCCTTTCAGTTCTACCCATTTAGTTAAGGGAAAATTTACATCGCTAGCCCAATACCCCTTATTGTAAAGTGCATTTAATCTAAAATGCAATACAAAGGAAGCATGGACATGTTACTGAATGCTGCCGGCGTTGTGTGGGGCCATGTGCGTTTCTTCTCTAAGGGAGATCAGCACGTGTGTGGAAATCATGGATGAGACTCAATGGACCAAATGAATACTGTCTCTGCGATGTGTTCTGAGGGACTGAAAATAAAACGATAATAGGCTCTCATCACTTATTAGGTTTTTTTTTTCTTGTTGCTGTGATAAAATATGTGGCGAAAGCAACCTAGGTGAGGAGGGGTTTATTTTCACCCATGATGGGGAGGGTTTGGCAGTGGGGGCAGGGTGCTGCTTGTTCACATCAAGGGAAATCAAGAAGTGGTGCTGGCTGATGGCAAGGCTGTGCTGGAAACTGTAAGGCTTCCTCTGGAACCCTACTTCTCCAGCTAGGTTCTAGGTTTCACAACCTCTCCAACCCTGCTGAGGACCAAGTATTCAGACACACAGCTTGTGCGGGATATTTCACATGTGATCACAGCAAGTGTGCCACTCTGATATTAAATGCTATATCCTTTTGTCCCCAAAAGCCATTTTTTTTTCTTCTCAGTAAAGATACCTTGTCCTCTCTTTGGGAACCTAGAATTGCTCTATGGCCATGCTGGAGAGTTTTTATATACCTTCCTATGTTGTTCTCAGACCTTAAGGGGGACAGTGAGTTGTTTCAGAAATCAAGGACAGTTGGGTTCAAGTCTGTAGTTGCCAGTTGGCTGGCCTGCTTGGTGAGCACTATGAAGCTTGGCTTGCCCACAGCCACTATGAGGAAGGATGGAATGGACCTAGAAAGGGAGAGGCCTCATGTGGGTGTAGCCAGCTGGGCCTGGACATCACCTCTGCAGATGACCAGTTATGTGGCCTTCATTGAGGAGCTTCTGCCCTCCCCATCTTGGTTTCCTTATCAGTAAGATTAAAATAACAGTGAATCTTCAGTCTCTGGGTCCTTGAAGGTTGAATGAGTTAAGTTTGTGTGGCCATGGTGATGTCTGTCTGTCTGTCACAGGGGGCAGGACTCATGGTAGTCTCACTCAATGCACAGGGATGGCGTCTCACTCTGGGAGAATGGGCTGTGGTCCATCTAACTGTGCTTCCAGGAGTCATTGTGAATGCTGCTCCACCCTTCCTGACACAGTCTCGGTCTCCATCCCCAGAGCAGCCGGCAGCCTGCAAAATCCTCCCCTGGGAGGCCACATGGCAAGCTCTTTTCAAAGGGAAGTTTCTAGAATCCAGACAGAGAGGATTTTTCTGGGCAATCTGTTGGCAGTTAGGGGCCAGTGGAAAATGGAAGGAGGGGAGGAGGAAGAGAAAGAGAGAGACATGGACGAATGGGTGAATTCATGCCTTCATTGGATGAGTGAATCCACCAGTGGATGAGGAAACCTAATACGAGAAAACCTGTTGCATTTCCTTTGACAGGCAGGTTGAGTCAAGGGCTGGCAAGGCTTCCAAGGAGGAGCGTTAATCTGTTTTGCTTCCTTTGTGCTCCAGGCCCACACGAGAGAGCGATGACGAGGAGGATGAGGAGAAGAAAGGGCGTGGGTGTACCCTGCAGTACCAACATGCCTTGGTGCGCGTCCTCACCCAGTTTGTGACCGAGTCACCTGACCTGGGTCAGCTGACCTACATGCTGGGTCCTGACTGGCAGTTTGACATCACTGACCTCGTAACCCAGTTTGTGAAGGTGGAGGAACCAAAGATCGCCCAGTTACAGGATGGCAGGATCCTGGCAGGGCGGGAGCCAGGCATCACCACTGTGCAGGTATTGCTGGATGGAGTGGGTGTGAGGGTCTTTGACACTTTTCCTCCAGAACCGGTGATTGCCCGGGGAATTGCTGTCATCCAGTGCTGTGCATGCGTGGTACGTGTGCACAGCACATATCGGCGTGTATGGCTTTACGCATGTTTGGCCTGTGTGCAGGGAGCTATTCACCAAACTCGGGCAACACTGGCGAGAACGCAGTGTTTTCCAGACAGACAGGGAAGAGGCACACGTGAGCTCAGTGGTTGTGACAGTACACACAAGACTCTGCAAGCTCAAGCCGGATGCAGGCCCAGCATGGAGGGAGTAGGTGGGCGCGGAGTCCACGCCCCGGCTGAGGAGCTTTTGGCACTGATAGCTGCTGGGGGAGAGTCTGCTTTCTCTACGCAGGTGGGCGCGGGTAAGCCAACGCCAGTGGAGATCACATACCAAGGGATACATGGCCAGCGCAAATGAAACGTCATTAAAAAAAGCAAATAAAGAGGACACAAAGTTGGATTGGGTGGGAAGAGGATAGATCTGGGAGGATGGGGAAGGGATGAAAATGATCAAAACAAGTTGCATGGAATTCTTGAAAAGGTTATTTAAACATTAAAAAAAAATCCTTTTGTATTTCAGAGGCTAGAAATATATGTCCTTCACCAGAGAAAGCTAAATTAAATACACACTACCAGACATTACTTTCTTTGAAATGAGAGCTTTTAAAAATTTCTAAAAGACTTTCATTTATTAATATTATGATTGCATGTATATGGGCACAATTGCCACAGTGTGTGGGTATTTGGAGGTCAGAGGACACCTTTTGTGGAGCAGATTCTTTGGTTCCACATGACTGTGTGTCCTGAGGATTGAACTCAGGACACTAGGCTTGTATAGCAAGCACCTTCATCCACTGAGCCATCTTGCTGGCCCACGCCAAGGGGCATAGCAGAGTAGATAGTAGTAAACTTCCTAAAAGTTCACCGGAAGGGATGTGCACGGAGAGCCAGTCTGAGCATCACTTCATCAGAGACTGCCATCAAGCCAGCATATTCAGAAACTGCTTATTAGCTATTGAAAATGCCCTGCTTCCGTACCTATCATCAGGGTAGAAAAATTTGGTGAGGACTTCTAATCTGAAACCCTCTACCCCTTTTCCTCAGAATATATTTCTAGTTATTGTCATATACTAAGAAAGAGGTGGTCTATCTCAATTGTTTTCAGTCCATGCTATTGAATGACCACAGACCCACTTAAACATTTGTCACTATGTTCCTTTACCAGAACACCAGAACACCTGGTCGCGATGGCCCTGTCTGCTCAGGAGTTCAAGTTGGTCCTGCGGGGCAAAGTCACATGCATTTTTCCCTTGGTTCTCAGGTCCTCTCGCCTCTCTCTGACTCCATCCTGGCTGAGAAGACAGTAATTGTCCTGGATGACCGAGTCACCATCACGGAGCTGGGTGTACAGCTGGTGGCTGGCCTGTCCCTTTCTCTGCAGCCTCACAAGGCAGACAAGAAGGCCATTGTCTCCACAGTGGCTGCCCAGGATGTTCTGCAAGCCCCGCAGCAGGTGAGACTGCTAGAGGACCTGTGTTCTGTGCGTGGAGTCAGGTCTACCCTCAGTTATGGCTCCTTGCACAAGAGGCTAACAGCGTCATAGCCAGGCCTGGCAGCTCTTGAACCTCCTTCTGTCTCTGAGAAAAGCACTCAGGGCTTAGCTATGTTTTCCCATGCCCTTTGCTTCCCCGTGGGTTGATCTGTGCCAGGCGTGGCTCTCTACCAGAACATAATCAAGGGGTCTGCTGTTCTCACTCATGCCAAACATCAGAGAAGGTGATTTTTTTTTTTTGAGGCTTGCAGACTCCATTTCAGCTACTTGAGCAAGAATGGCCAATTGGTACCAGATTGTCTTGTTGATGGCAGGGATTGTCAACTCTAAAGCTCCCATGTGTCTTAAATCATGTACAAAACATTTATTAAAAAGAGACAGGGGCAAGGTGTCATTCAAGTGAGCCAGGCCCACAGCACTTCATTTACCAAGGACTTCCCCCAGGAGTGGTTTTTGCTGTGCCAGCACAGACTTCCTGATAAACGGTGTTCAAAGTGGCATTGTCTTGAAAGGTAACCTGATTAGTCACATCTGATATTGATTCAGATAAATCAACCAAATCTTTCCGAGTGTTTCCACAAAGGCCAAAGTCACATTCTGTGGGAAGGCATGCAATAAATTAATTTATACTTTAATGTCTTCATCAAAGTGCATCTCATGTCAGTGGGGTTATAGTACACTAATGACACAAAGTCAAGGCCTACCAAGAGCTAAGACCATCACATATGAAAATTCACCTCTGTCTGAAGATGCCAATAATGTCTGGAGGAAATCATGCTTGTAAGTTTGAAGGAACACAGCTGTAACACTTTGATGTGGTTTTGTTTTCCTTAGGAAGCCATAGTCAGTTCCTGGATCTTGTTCAGTGATGGCTCAGTGACACCTTTAGACATTTATGATCCCAAGGATTTCTCATTGACCGTTTCCTCATTGGATGAAATGGTGGTGTCTGTCCAGCCAAACCTTCAGACCAAATGGCCAGTTGTGGTTGCCGAGGGTGAAGGACAAGGGCCCCTGATTAAGCTAGAGCTGTCGATCAGCGAGGCTTGTCAGAAGAACAAGAGGAAGAGTACTCTTGCTGTGGGCAAAGGAAATGTCAAGGTCCGGTTTGACCCTGGGATGCATGAGCAGCGAGGAGGCGGCAATGACATTGGGGGAGTAAACCGGGAATACAAAGGCCACCTCAGCAATTCCATAGAGCGTGAAGGAAGCCAGGAGCGAGCGGCCCAGGAGTGGTTCCAACATGGTGCATCAGTTGGCCGTGAGGACAGGACCAACAAAAGTACAACCCCACAGTCTCCCATGGGAGGAAAACTACTTAAAGGTGGAGCAGATGCCTTCACAAGCTTCCCCACTCAAGGGAAGTCACCAGACTCCAATAACCCCGGTGACCTCACGATGACCTCTAGGGGTTTAACAGATTTGGAGATTGGCATGTACGCCCTACTCTGTGTCTTCTGTCTGGCCATCTTGGTCTTCCTGATCAACTGCGTGGCATTTGCCTGGAAGTATAGACACAAAAGATTCGCAGTGAGTGAGCAAGGCAATATCCCCCATTCCCACGACTGGGTCTGGCTCGGGAATGAGGTAGAACTCCTGGAGAACCCCGTGGACATCACTCTCCCCTCGGAGGAGTGCACAACCATGATTGACAGGGGTCTGCAGTTTGAGGAGAGGAACTTCCTGCTGAATGGCAGTTCCCAGAAGACTTTTCATAGTCAGCTGCTTAGACCCCCTGACTATGTGTATGAAAAAGAGCTAAAAAATGAACCTATGAGTTCCGGCCCAAAGAGGAAGAGAGTCAAGTTTACTTCCTACACCACCATCCTCCCCGAGGATGGCGGCCCGTACACCAACTCCATCCTGTTTGACAGTGATGACAGCATCAAGTGGGTCTGCCAGGATATGGGGCTGGGGGACTCTCAGGACTTCAGAGACTATATGGAAAGACTACAGGACCAGATGTAAAGTCCTTTCTTAAGTTCGTATTCACCTTTATGCCTTCTGTTTTCTGAATGGTGGAACAGTGGGTTTGATCAGCAATAGGGGGTGACTCAACAAAGTGTCAGAGTTGGGAGTCTGGAGGGATCCTTCTAAGTGGGTATCAGCAGTCCGGAGAGCTTGGAATCAAGCTGGGCGATGCCTAAAAAAAAACCAGTGGCTCCTGGGGACAGGAGACATTCAGAGGCAGCAGCCTAGAGGCAGACAGGACCCCACAGACACTGTTAGTTACCTCACCACGACCAATGGCCGTGTGTAATTAGGAACGTCCAGGATGGTGATTTTTCTATTCCTAGCCCTTTTAAAGCACAGTGGACACTCATTGCACGTGGCCTGAGTTCGGATCTCCGTGGTGGAAGATGACTGAATGTAGCTTCCTTAGCTGTCAAGGAGTGAGGCTCATTGTTTTTATATACATCTGGACTCGTACCTGTTCTTTTGACCTTACATTTTTTGAGGGGGAGGGGTTGTTTTGGAAACACATAAAGAAGAGTTATGTTTGATGTTCCTATGAGTTTTATTCCTTGGGCCTCATCATGTCCTGCCATTTCTGGTTCTCCACATAGGATGTCTTTATTTTAATTTTAATTTTGCTGCTGGGGACAGTGTTTAAGAAACATATACTCATGCTTTGTCTTCTCCTTCTTGTTGTTGGACTTTCTCATCTATCTCAACAACAGGAGTCTCACTGGAGACCCAGAAGAGAGGGCTTTTTTAAAACAACAACAACAACAACAAAAACATTTTACACGTGAAGTTTAACAAATATGGAGAAAAGTTGTGTCACAAATATCTGTTTCAATGTCTGCTTGTTAGTTATTTGTGGATCTCCTGGGTTAATTCTGAGGGCAGAGAGACTCCAGGATCACAGTGTGGATGTAAGTCCTCTGAGTGCAACACAATGTATTATTCAAACTAACATGAAAAGGATTGAGGGACTGGTGAGATGGCTCAGTGGTTGAAAGCACTAACTGCTCTCGTAGAGGACCTGGAGTTCAGATTACAGCATCCACATGGTGGCTCACAATCTTCTGTAACTCCAGCTCAGTGGGATCTCATGCCCTCTTTTGGCCTCTGTGGGTACTACACTCATGTGCGTATACATACACATACTAAGAAAAAAAAAGATAACCAAATGTTTAAAAAAGTCATGATTGATCTGCATGACAAAGAAATAAAGAAACACCTTCATATTAAACTCTCCACTTTGCAGATTAAAAAAATGTTTCAATTTAGCAATATATAGAAGTAATCTATCCAGTGACTGAAAAGAAAAACCTCAGCTGTCACTTGGCAGAGGAGAAACTATCTCAGGCATCTTTTGGTAGAGAAAGCAATGATTTTCCCAAATTCATAATAATAAATGACCGTCCCTGATCCCAACAATAAGCTGTTACAAAAAACAATGGTATTAAATTTTTTTTGCATAATTTTCAATAAAAGTGCTAATTTACAAGCATCATGAATATTCTCAAGAAAGGCAGTGATTTTGGCTTAGCAAGATATGACTTTTTAAAAATTATGATGTCGTAACTAGAAAAGCAAACACTTGACTAGGACGCCTCATTGTGAACTCACTGAGCCCTCAAAAATGGGATTTTTAAAGGCTCAGGGTGTGGGGGTGGTGTCACTGATGTCTAATGGCTGCTATCTGAATCTTTCAGAGGAGGCTTTTCTCATTCCTCTGCTCTCATTTTGTATGTGTCCAGGATGGAAACATGACAGCCAACCCTCCTGTAGATTACAGGGCAGCTGAGATGCTCTCCCTGCCTCTCCCGTCCGTGGCACTGCAATGTGTTTACAAACAGGCTGGGAATGCAGGCCCTATGTGGTGCCCTCCAGAAGTAGGCTCACTTGCTTCTTTGTTTAGAATGGCCCCTAAGAACAGAAGCTATTGGGATCCATTGCATTTGACTAGAGGATGAAGCCAGGAGATGCAGGCATTGCATGAGCTTGGCTGACACCTCCTCCTGCTGAGAGCTCTCTAGTTAGCTAGCTGCTTCTGGAAAGGCTGAAGTGGGGAAGGTAGCCCAAACCACCTGTGCAGGCCAGCAGAGTTCTAGATAAGTCTGGCTCCTTTTATAAGGCATTTGAAGCCCTGTCTCATATCACAGAAATAATGGGAACTCATTTCTGAAAGTGAGGCGCCTCACTGGAAACAAGGGCACACAAAGCAGGCTTCCTTCTCTTGGTTAGGTGGGGCCTTTGGCTTGCCTGTAACTTAGCAGGAAGTAGGCGTTTGCTGTGATTGGCAGGCTCAAAGTAGGATGGGGAGCTGACCGTGGTCCTGAAAGATGCCTCCCTGGATCTGTTAGACACAGTGAAATGGCCTCTGCACATTTCACTGAGTTTTTGCATTAGGGCACTGTCAATTCAGATCAAAGTCAAGTGGCAGGTTATGAGGGAAATGGGATCCTTTTAACACATGACACATAGTTGCATGTATACAGACACACATACACACATGTATCCACATTGCTGTGTGCGGGTACCAAGGAGTCACAGACTCAGTCATTTGATGGGAATCAAAAGAGGCTGCCAGTCATTCTCAGATCCAGCTGGAACAGGCCTCAGCATCACAGAGTCATGGAAGCATCTTGTGCTCTAAGTATCTCCTGCAGGTCATAAGCTGTGGCTATCTCACTTGATTTCCCACCGATTCAGCTATGATGTTTGTGCTAGCCTCTAAAATACCTGAACTAGAATTGGGGAGATGGCATAAACCATCAAGCCTTAAATCCAATTTCCCAGGGCCCTGCATTTGCTGGATTTCAGTTCTCATGGCTGAGATATCCAAATTATAACTCTTGATAAATAATCTGAGCCAGACACTCATTATCAAGTTCACCCTTTTGCCACAAGAATGGTGTTTGTGATTAGATTCCTCCTGGGGAAGTCAGGAGAGAGTAACAGGCTGTGAGCTCCTTTACCACACAGAGGGAGGTTGAGACAAGAGATAGACAAAGGTTGTGTGACCTGGGATATTTAGAGACAATGCAGTCATTGTCTCTAGGATTTGCATGTGGTACTTTTGGGGTCAGGGTACAGGACTCATTAGGCAGGTGCCATCCCAAAGGACTGGAGCTAAATGAAAGGTGTGCTGGATTTGAGAGACTTATATTCAGTGCCAGCTTTGGCCAGAAGAGCAGCCTGTAACTAGCGTCAGAAAACTGTCTGGCACACTGGCCAGGGTACATTCCCAGCACAGCAATTCTTAGCTGTCTAGGCAGAAAGTTTCCATTCGCAGATATGCAGACAGGCAAGACATGCATGGATTTTATTTTACTCCCTTGGCCATACCTATTGACTGAAGTAACTTGTACCTCACTCATTTAAGCTTTAGGGTGCCATCTTTGGGGGTTCTAATCAACATTTTGTTGTTGTTGTTTCACTCTTTGTGGGGCTGAAGAGAGAGCTCAGTCAGTAAAGTTTGCTGCATAAGCCCGAAGACTGGAATTCGATCTTCAGCACCCACATAAAAATCCAGGCATGGTGGTGTACACTTATAATCTCAGCATGGAAGATGGAAACAGGCAGGCACCCAAGACTTCTGCTCCAGCCAGCCTTGCTGAATTGGCAAGTTCCAGGTCCCAGTCAGAGACCTGGTCTCAAAATGAAGGTAAATGGTGCCTGAGGAAATCACCTGAGGTTGATACACACACACACACACACACACACACACACACACACACACACACACAGAGAGAGAGAGAGAGAGAGAGAGAGAGAGAATTAAAAAGAATGGGGTTCTCAATGAGTGAAGCTATATCCATTAGTGAGGAGTCCTCCTGTCCCCAGCAGTGAGCACAGGCAGTGTTTCTGAATCCTATCTTCAACCCATTGGGTTTTCTACTCTGGTCATCTAAAGAGGGTCACATTTTTCCCTTCAGGTCTCTGTAAATGACACCACAGATGGTTTGTAAACTGTACTTTTCTTTTCCATCAAAACCGTGTTTGTACAATGTGATGTGTCTCACCTGTCACATAAAGGAGGATGGTGGGACAAAGTTTTGTTGAAATACAGACAGCAGATATTTTTGTATGTAATATAGGCAATATAACGAAACTGTGAACAGTGTATTGGAATAAATACATTTACAAATAAAAGCATGTGAAACTGTAGCTTTTAAGTGTACAGACATCCAGTTCAACAGTATTTAAATGGATGATGGGCAAAGCACTGGGGCCTGACATTGAAAAAGACACCAAGTTAGGAATTCTGACCTGGAAAGGACATTGTGGCTCATGCTGGGATTGTTGATGGAATCTTCCAGAACATTTTGATCTTACTCTTCATTACTTTCTGAATTTTCCCTCCCCCACCCAACATTGGAAATATTTCGGAAATAAAATGACTTCATTTTTCAGCATAAAGGTATATTCTAACCACAGGGTAACTCATCATTTTTAACATGGAAATAAACATTTGAACATTCTTCAATCATTGTATTATTTGGTTATGTATTCTGTATTGAGTTTTAGCACTCATGTCATGGGTTATACTTACAGATGTGTTTTCCTTTTTTTTTAAAATTTTTGGTCAAAGATTTTAACAGTCTTGATACAGTACTGCATGGTCATGAAAAGAAAACATTCCCTATAAAACATTAAGTTATAGAAAGCCTTCACTTAAAAAATATTTTTTGAAATTGTGTGTGTGTGCACATGGGTATGGTAGAGGCCAGAAGAGCTGGTGTTACAGTCAGTGTGAGTCACTCAAGGTTGACGTTGGGGACTGGACCTATGTCCTTGGCAAGAGCTGAAAATGCTCTAAACTGCTGAAGTGGTGTGTTTATGTGTGATTTCTCCTACTTCTAAACCTTTATACACACACACACACACACACACACACACACACACACACACACACACAAAGCCAAACCTAAAAACCTTGTAGGGCTTGAGAAATTTGTCAGTCTCCATGCTGTGGGCATCATTTCTTTTGTCTCCAGCTCTTCCAAATGAACTTTTCATTGGCTGAGGTCCAGGAGAATCTTGAAACTGCCTCATTTCCTTCAGGATGAATGGGGATGTCTCCTGGTAATGCCTTGGCAATGCCTCATACTACATCTGATCTTTCATCTGGCCCAAAAGATGTCAGTTAAGAAACTGGGTACAGACACTGGCCTCCGAGGAATCAGGGTTGCTTTCATGCTTAGAAAATACTGAATTCTGGCAGCAAATGAGTTCCAGAGCTTTCCCAGGCACACAGGTCCATTTGGGGTAATTGCTTCCCACTAATGGCTTTCTAGGAGCAGTGAGTCACATATCGGTGTGCGACTCAGACCCTGGAGTAGGTGTACTCAGTTTGGTAAAACCTCCCACAAAATAAAAAGGAAGAGAACAGGAGGTGAGATGGGTCGAAGGATAGACCTTTATGTTTAGATTTTTTTTTTTTAATGCACCAGGCCAAAACACAAATACTGGGGTTTTTTTTTGTTTTGTTTTGTGTTTTGGTTCTTTTGGTATTGAAACCTTTCTCGCCTGCTCATTTCCTTTTGGTTTTGTGCAACTATAGCAGGTGATGTGCTCTTGCTTTGACTTAGATATTTCTAGAAGGAAAATGGGAGGGCAGGGATATCCTGCCTGGGGTCTCGTTCTCACAGGCTCCTCCGCCGCTCTGTGCAGACAGGGAACCACTACTTCCTAGATGGGAAAGAATGATTCCCTCAGGGAAGTCATCTTTCCAGTTCAAAGAAGCAATCAAGGCGTCAACTCACAGCACTGGGCCGTGTTTTGTGAAAAACCTCTACTACACCTCGGGCTTTCACTGTGGCTCTTAGTGGGTTGTGAGATAAAAATTTGTCACTTCCCATTGAGGACTTTATTGTCTTTAGATGCAGGAACTTGAGGAGGGTGAATTTTCAGATATCATAATAAAGTGTTTGTAAACACACATGTGGATGCTATTTCAGGTTTCAGGGCCAACTGATGGCGATTTTCTGCCCATTGGAAAATATTACATTTCCAGTTCATTGTCTTTGGGGCGGGGGTAGATGTGGTTACAGTTGTCTCTGAGGAGAGGAGTGCAATCCCAGGAAGATTTTCATACAGTTTACACATAGCCTCTTGCATGTTCACGATCACCTCTGCATTACTTATTATACCGGAGAGAATAGCTGGCTGTGAACGGAAAGTCCAAAAAAAATCCAGTACTTGTTCAGTTCACAAGGCTGGATGCCTCAGCCCATCTTCAGTATATGCTGGAGTCTCAAAGTAGGTAGGTTCTATTGCCTTGAAGGAGTGGATGTGCTAGCAAGATGAAGGCAAGCAGGCAAACAGCAAAAGCTTCCTTCTTCTATGTCCTTATATAGATTTCCAGTAGACAGTATGGCCCAGATTAATGGCATGTATTTTCACCTCAAAATCTGGATCAAAGACATGTATCTTCCTGCCTGAAAGGTCTGGATAGAAGTGAATTCTCGTCCCCACTTTAAATCAAACAAAAAGTCTCTCACAGTTGTGTCCTCCATTTCAGGATTGTAGTTCATTCTAGATGTAGCCAACCTGACAAGCAATAATAGCCATTACACAGAGACAGGAGGATCCTCAAGGCTCATTGCTGCATCAGCGAACTCTAGGTTCTGTGAGAGACCCTGCCTCAACACATAGGCTCCGAGTGTAGAGGAAGACCCTTGAAACTGACTTCTGGCCTCATGAGTGCTTGCATACTTACCCAGATAGTCACTCACATGAGAACATATACATTTCACATTACACTAAACACATACACACACACGCGATAAATTTTATAAAAAGAAATATGAGTAGGAAGAAAGTAAATAAAGAAATGAGCAGTCCAGGTCCGGTGGCTCACACCTGTCACCCCAGCTACTTAGGAAAGAAACCAAGACAGAAGGTCTCAAGTTTAAGGCTCATGTGGTGTTTATACTGAGTGAGTTCAGGTTCAACCTGGGCAATTCAGTGAGAATCTGACACAGATTCTCAACACAGAAGTTAGAAGAAAGCTGGGGACATAGCTCAGTGGTAGAATGCTGATAACCCTGGGTTAAATTCCAAGCACAGAAAAAAAAAAGACAAAGATGAAGAAGAAAGGAGGAAATGATTAAACCCACAGGAAAGGAAATGACTGAGAGACAGTCACATACTGAGTTGTATCAGCTGTTTCTTATTTCTCTGAAAAATGAGGGTTACAATGCTGCTTGCTTATAATGTGTGTATAAAGAGCTTGAAGTCTTGCAATTTAACTTTGTGTTCCAACCATCAACTCCCGGACTCAGGCTCTTCTTATGCTGAAGTATCTGGTATTGACTCTGCAGAAAATAGAGAACAGCCAAAACTACACAGCACAGCTAGCTGTTTCTGTTGGGGTGGCTTCAGGATAGTAGGAACAGATTTTGTCTCGAATTTGGGAAGATGTGTGTCATTCCTTACTTTTCACTGTTCACAACTGGAATTTGGGTTTCTTGTTGAACACAAGATGTTATGAGCAGGGCACACTGTTACAGCACTCTGTGTGTATGTGTGTGTGTGTATGTATGTGTGTGTGACTAGAAGTGGGCGCCAGATCTCGGGGGCTGGAGTTCCAGGTGGTTATGAGCCACCCATGTATTTTATATAGCCTAGCACAATTGCTTTCTTGTGTAAGATATTTGCTGCACTGGTCACATTGTGTTGCTACCCAGTGTTTACTCACAAGGAGTTCATCAGTACATGGTACATGGCCTGGGCTCACACACTCAGAAGTTTTGCATCTGCTTTGTCCAAATGCACAGAGTCAGTTTATCGGTGGTAATGATAATTACTCATGGTGCCTTTGTTTATGAACTTATGGGAAGTACTATACTCTACGTGTAATTGTTTTTGCCTCAGTCACTCTGTTGACAGCTTCCATCTGGAAATGATAGTGATGGTGGTGGTAATGATGATTGTGGTGCTGCTAGTGATATCAATGTTGGTAATGATGATGGCAGTAATGGTGATAATGATTGTAGTGATGATGTTGGTGATGATGGTGATGGAGACAATGGTGATACTGCTGCTGCTGTTGATTGTGGTAGTGGTGATTATAATGACAGTGATGATGATGGTGGTGGTAATGATGGTGGTGGTGGTGATGGTAGTAGCGATTATGATGGTGGTCATAATGGTGATGGTGATGATGGTATTGTTGATGGTGGTAATGGCAATAGTGATGATTATAATGACAGTGATGGAGTGATGATGGTGATGATGGTGGTGGCAATGATGATGGTCATAATGGTGATGAGGATGATACTGGAAATGATGACAGTATTGAAAATGATGATGGTAATAATGGTGCTGCTGCTGCTGATATTGATGATGGTGGTAATAATGATGATAGTGATGACTATAATGGCACTGATGATGATGGTGATAATGATGGTGGTCATAATGGTGATGGTGATGATGGTATTGCAATAATGATGGTAATAAAGGTGTTGTTGATGATAATGGCAATGATGGGGTAATGTTGCTGTTGGTGTTTATTTATTCATTGTCCCAACAAATATCAGTTAGTAATTTTTTTTGAGGCAGAGTCTCCGTATGTAGCCTAAACTGTTGAGAGAATATCTTGTATCTGTATGGATGCAATACCTGTCAATAAAAAAAAAAATCTGATGGCCTATAGCTTAGGTATAAGGTGGATATCTAGAAGGTAGAAAAGATTATGGGATAAGGCCAGCTGTGATATTTGCTGGTAAGATGTGAGGACAGGTGCATGGTACCTGAGCACAGGTAACCAGCCACATGATAGAATGTAGATTAGTATAATGGGTTATTTTAAGTTATGAGCTAGTCAGAGAAAAGCCCAGTTATATGTCCAAGGTATTTGCAAATAATATTTTGAGTCTCATAGATATTTTTATTCTGGGAGCTTGGGGCCAGAAGGCAAAACCCCTACAACACTAAACTGTCCTAGAACTGATAGTTTCTTTGTCCTAGCATTTCAAGAGCTGGGGTTATAGATCTGTGGCATCATGCCTAGTTTAATAAATATTCATTGAATACTGCTACATGAGAGTCAGTGTTCCAGGCACAGAGGATGTGGAGAGAGACCATAAACAAGGAACTGTGGAGGGTAAAGAGTTATAGAGAAAAGTCAAGAAGCAGAGAGGTGAGCCAGTGCCAGGTAGAGACAAATGTTGATGGGCCACCAATAAACTGATACCCGAGCAGAATAGAGTGGGTAGGCTAGGCAATATCTAGGGAATAGAATGTTCCAAAAAGAGAAGAGGAATGACAAAGGCTCTAAGGATATCAGGATTGCCAGCTATCCAAGGAGCCCTCAGGGGCAACAAGGTGAGAGGTTTCCAGCCAGGCAAGAATTTGTAGTGGAGTCATGGTGGTTTGGACAATGCTTGAAGTTGTCTGGCTACCTACTACTGCAGGTTCCTCTCAGAACTGCACCCACTTTTTCTCAGGGTTAGTCATCAGAGCCGCTA